TACCTTTGAAGAGCAATCCATTATAAACAGTGCTCTAATTTGACTTATGATGAGCTGTAGACCAGGTAGGTTTCTGGTGTTAACTATATACTACACGGCATCATATTATATGTGTGTTTCTAATTTAGTACCATATGTCTTAGACATGGTGGGGCCTGATTTATTAATTGAATGGTACTTGGAGGAGAAGAAATTTTAATAGTAGAGGAGACACAGAGGGGAAGAAAGAGAAAAGAATAAAATAGTAAATGATCAAGGAAGAAGTTTATGGAATACTAGGGTATCAAGCCAGTAACACAAACTTGAATTGTCAGACATCAAGTTCTACAGATGCTGATATCCCACTTTAATGTTCCCTCAGCCATGTGGGTTTACTGGGAGCTGTGATAAAAGTTTCTGGTTTGCAGATAGTATCCTGTGTCAAGACTTTGCTTTTCTTCCCCCTGCCCGAGAGCTTTTCCAGCATTAGAGAGCTTGCCCACCTGCAGGCAATTGTGTTTGTGTATGTCTCTGTATGTTGGCAATCTTACTGCAGGGATGGCATTTGGTGTATAAATGCCCCAGCTTATTTGGTGGAATTGATTCTGAGGTGACTCCACAGGATTTCTCAGAGGATCCCTGGGGACCTGAGCTCTAATTGCCCACACTGGTGGCTCAGTCATTATTAATTCAGTCATTTTTTGGCATCTTTCTCTTTCCTAGCTCACTTTTCCCACTTCCAGAGCATAGTCCCTAAGATAACCTCTTAAACTACCTAAACTCAATTCTGTGTCAAGGTCTGCTTTTGGGGCAGTGCAGTCCCAAACACCTGGTTTAAGCAATGTACAAGTAATTTACCACTGAAAGAAACATAATCTAAATATTAAAATACATAATGATGGAACATAGTTTTAAAGGAAAATAAGCAATTTGGTAATTCTTTTTTATTTTTAATTTGGTGACTCTTAAATAACTCAACAAAATTATTTATTTGTATTATATGTGTCTGTTTAAAGATAATGTGGATCTGCAGAAACTAATTTAGTTTCTATGGAAAGATGAAAAAAGAAGTGAATTATTGCATTCAGATCTTGAAAATTCTCCTGCATTTATATTCTAACTCTGGCTTATTAAAGGGGCCTGTGCTCTGTTAACATACACATATGCTTACAATATAAACAGCTTAACTAGACATCTGTGTTGACTACATATAAGAAGCAGTTAACTTTTTGCCTTGTTTCTGTTCAACAATCTTGATATTTTAGTCTGTAGGCCAGATGAAACAAGATTGGTTTTTCTGGTACCAGATGTGTCACAGTTTGGGTTTGTATTTTGCAGGTGTTCCCCCCAGCTGGGAAGATGGAAACTTGCCATCTTTCAGGAATGATGACTCAGGATAGAAATGTAAGTGTGTTAAAAAAATTCAACATATTAATGGAGGGCTTTGTCCTTTGTGGGCTGCTTACACATAACATAAGAGCAGGCCGGCAGCTGTTCCGTATTTTCAAAGGAGAGTTAAAAAGTTAGAAGCAACTGAAAATACTTGAAGCAACTGCCTGAAGTCATGGAAACAAGATTCAGCAAAAACTTTTTATTTGTGCAACTTCCCCCATAATAATAATCACACTGGACTATGGTCAGGTGGTTTTAGGTTGCTTAACAGTCTTTCTATCTCATCATTGGGGTTCACTAAAACATGTCTCTTACAAAGTGGTGGAAATGATGACATTTATTAGATATGGGAGTTTGTTTCTAGCTGATTTCTGCCTCCGATATTTACATTTTTATCATTTTTTTTTAAAAATCTACTTTTTTGCCTTACTCACTTAAGCATATTGTGAAAGAACCAAAAGGTTCATTGATGACTGAGTTGTTAATTAAATGTGTTATCTTACTCCAGGCTTCTAAAGCGAGAAGTCGTGATGGTGTTAATTGTACATATTATCTTCCTTAGTAATCACTTAAGGAATATTAACCAATGTCAAGGAATGGCAGTACTTTTTACATTACCCCTTTCCTTACACTAACCCTCAAGAAAGGAAGGACTCTATAAACCTTTTCTGTCCATCTCCTGGACCAGTAGAAAGTTTGACCCATTCCATCTTTACCACCCTGCCTCTCCAAGCTTTGTCATTTAGAAAGCTCTTTTTGGATCTTTAGTAATACACTTTTTTTTTTCTTTCTGAAATTGCTGTCTTTTCAAGTTTAGTAAGGTCTGCATGACTGGTCCTTGTTTTTTAATTTATAGAGCTCAGGAGTATTACACTTATTTTTATCTCCTTGGAGTAAAAGAGAACAAATCAGCTACAGTTCACAAGAGTAAATCAGTATCAGATTAGTATCTGACATAGATATTATGATTGGTATCTATGTTATTCTGACAGTAGCAATGACAACTGGTCACATAACTGGCAAGTCTGACCCACAATGTGGGGTGGACACTTTCCAGGAAGAAGCTTGGAAGGAAAGAAATTGTCTGAAGTTGTTGAAATTTGGAGTACGGACCCCCATGAAAAGAAATGTAATCTAAGTCTTATGATCAGTATTGTATGCACAATGCTCTTTCTTGCTCAACAAACTGGAACTTTGAACAAATCTTTAAAACAGGGTTTGACAAGATGGTATCTAATTTTAGAATCTTATTGTTATTAAAAAGATGAGTGTGTAACAGGAGAGATTTTATGTTTGGGAAATATGGCAGCTGAGGGAAATTCTTGCTTTTGAGAGGGCTTAACCATGAAGAGGCCTTTTCTAACCACTGTAAAGAAAATAACTCCATCTGGTCAGAAAGCATGGCAGCTTCACAGCCTAGGCCATAGGCATGAGAATGGTGAAGTGGTGGAAATATCTAGGTCAGTCCTCATGACTGAGGTTCACTGAGGAAAGACACAGGCATCTCTCTGGAGTGCGAGAACCCACAACTAGCCTTTTCCCCGCTGTTGAGGCAGGTAAATGACTTTTAGTTTAGTGCGAGTAATCATATTTCAGTTAGAATCAATGGACAGGAACAAAAATATAACATAGCAAAATGAATACTAAAACATTGGATTTTGAATTATAATTTAAAAATACAGCTAAATTGGATTATTTTTCATGTCCCCAGCTCCAATAATGTGAAGATCTGTTTTGGGATAGGAATTATTAATTTTTTTCTTTCACCAATGCCGAGTGCTTTCCAACAGTCACTACATTCAAAGGATACTCAGATGCTTGCAAAGATTTGGCAAATAGAGCTGACTCTTCTCTCAATGAATCCCTCAAAGTAGGCATTAGGTATAATTTTTAAAGCTGAAAAAATACTTTGTTTAAACATCCCAATTTTCTAGATAAGGAAGTAGAAATGTTGAGAATCTAAATGACTTGCCCAAGGTCTCTCAGCTGATTAGCACTAGAACAGAAGCTAGAGTTCTGGTTCTTCTATGCTACATTACACTGTTAGATGCTGGAAGGGATTACCATAGAAACTTCTTAATAAATATTTGCCAAGAACAAAAGGATATAGCTCAGTGCTAGGATTTTTGCCTAACTTTGGAGAGGCCCTGGGTTTGAATGTATATTTGAATATATGTTTGAATATACATATGTTTGAATATATGTTTGAATATATACTTGAATATATACATGTTTGAATATATATATACATATATATGATAAAAATGACTGACAAATTATTCTTGTAATTCTCATCTATGGAAGGTGGTTTAAATCAATGATTTTTAAGGAAGATGGATGGAGGTAGTCACAGTGTGAAAACAAAGCAGAGCATATCTTACTGATTTGGCTTGTTTTTGATCATATTTATTTTGAACTTCAAATTACTAAGATTACTGAGGATAGTTGTACATATAAAGGAATTAATGTGTTAGCTTCTCAAAGTTCTTTCCAAGTTTTTTGTTCCCATAATTAAAAAAACCCTTTGTTTACTTGGTATTTTTTAGTCAAAAATAAAACTAAAAATGAGTGAATTTAGGTGTGAAATAAGTGAATGAACGGTCTAGCAATCAGTTTCATTTTGATCCCCAAGATAAAAAGGAATTATAGGTAGAAACAATTTATCAAATGATGAATGGATAAACAAAATGTGGTATATCTATAAAATGGAATATTATTCAATCACAAAAATGAATGAAGTACTGATACATACAACATGGATGTGCCTAGAAAACATGGCATGTCAAAGAAGCTAGAATAAAAGACTACCTGCTATATGATCTTGTATATACAAAATGTCCAAAATAGGCAGTTTCATAAGGACATAAAGTAGGTCTGTGGTAGTTCCCACTGGAGCTTGTGACAAGGGAGAATGGAGAGTGACTGCTTATAGGTGTGAGTTTTTTTTTTTCTTTGATATAAAGGTTATGGAACCAGTTGTTTCTTCTCTGGCAGCTATAACTGATTTTTCCTCAGATGTATAAATTATATGCTCTGTTATTAGCTACATTAAAAAAACCTCCAAAGATTGGATGTTTTTTAAAAAGAATATTTTTATTTAAAAATGACACACTAAAGTGAATCAATTACATTTAAAAAAATAAGAAGACATAAAATGTTTTCATAGAATTGGGTTGAAGAGATTTGCTTTAACTCACTGTCACTCTGAATGCCAGGAACAAGAACTATCATAATTTTCTTCCTCTGTGAGCATCAAGGACAAAGATGAAAAATTTTGCTTGTTTATAAGTGAAGTGTTAGGATTTTTATTTTATTTAGAAATTAAACTTATCCAGTAAACTAGCCTTTCCCTATTTTGCTCTGCATCTTGCAGAAATTCTGACTCCAAGGATGTTATTGTATTTACTGAATTTACTTCTTCCAGTCAACTCTGATGTGGTTTAGAAATTATGTTTTCTTATCTCTTCCCCATAGGTTTCTTAATAGGATAATTTTCTGGGGGATATTTGGTTCATTTTGGAAAATTTTATTTATTGTGTTTTAATACTTATAAGAAAAGATTTCTCACAAAATTAAAATACCTACGGAAACCACCTATAGACTCATGAAAACAAAGATGAACATAAATATTGTAGTTCCTCATTTTCTAAACAAATATATCTTTATTGACGCTTTCCATTTTCTTACAAAGCAGTTAAAAAACTCATTCTTGGCCTTGCATGCCACTGAATGTTATGCGGGCTGCTTCCTTGTAAGACTGTCAGGGGAGCTGCGGTCAGTTTCCTCAAGCACCACAGAAGAGCATCATTGCTTGGCTCCATTTTTACAGGAAAGAATCCAACTTTCACCAGATTATGTATGCTTAGCTCTCTTGAAGAAGATCAATTTAGTAGATTAATGTCTAATGTACACATAGTAATAAAGACAAAGTTTGAATCTTTACAGATTAAATGCCCACTTTATATCATCATGTAATTGTTTGAATTACTGGTGAGTGTACAGTATATAGATGTAGATATACTAGATATATCTATAAATAAAATAGTGCTTTAAAGTAACAATATTCTTTGGCTGGTTTAAATGCCTGTGGTAGACTCTTATAAAAGGCTAAAATGAAAATGGCCCCACTATTATTGTCAATCTTAACACTGAGCTGGTGCGGAAGGTCCCTATTCTGTTGACTGTCAGCATCTCCATGTCCACGATGTATTCCCTTGGTCCTGTTAGTGACTTCACCAGCACAAGCATTGCACTTGCAGCACTTGTTTGCTAAAATAAAACAGGGGAGTTTTTGTTATTTGTTATTACACATGCTATAAAAATTAGGGGAACTAGGAGAATAAAGGATGCTATGGAGTCTCGTCTTAACTTCCAACCCTCCTTCACTCTTAGCTCTTTTAAACCCATCATCACTAGCTCCAAGTTATAAGAACTTGCTTTTGAAATAGTTATTCTTTTTTTTCCCTTTCTCTCTGTTAACATTTCTCTACCCTCTTATTAAGTAGTTACAGCCTTTATAGAGACTGGATGAGATGAGAATCTGATAATGGTGAACAACGTTTGTCCTTTTTCACTTTCATAACATTGTGTGTCTGTTTATATTCTAGTGGGTGAAGATATAGGCAAACACTTAATTTCAGTAGAATGTGGTAAATTTTAAGATATATGTGGATATATAGGGTATGTGCATAAAGTTGTATATATATGAGAAAAGTGGAGAAATCCTGCAACATTGAGATGAAGCTTTTGAATTTCTAAGCAGAGTTTCCTGGGATAAACAAATTTCATGAAGTACCATGTTCAGAAGAACTTGAGGTAGTTTAGTGTTGATGAAGAATGTGAGGAATACTGGAAAGTGGAGGAAGATATGGCTGGAGAGGCAGGTAAGTGGGTGCATGAGTCTAAATACCAAGGGATAGGGACTTGGATTAAGATTTAGTAATCATTACAATGAGAGGACATTAAATGAAGAGAGAGAATGCAGATGTGGTAAGGCTGGAGTTCTGGGAGAGGGTGAAATGGAAGAAGTGAAACCGAGGAGTAAGCTGAGAATAAATAGCTGATAAATTGGGTAACAGATGGGTGCTTAGGAGTATCCAACAAAGCAGATGAGGATGAGCATACTGGAATGGATAAGTGTCCTCTGGACTTAACGGTATGTATGTCATTGGTGGGTTTTCCCCCAACAGCTTTAGTAGGGTAATGGGAACAGAAGGTAGAAAAGTGATCAGGAAGTGAGGAAAAACAGGGTGATTTTTTTTTTTTTTGGTACCGGGGATTGAACTTGGGACCTTCCTCTTTCGAGGCAGGTGGCAGAACCACTGAGCTAAATCCCCAGCAACAGGCTGAATTTTAAGAACCTAGTCTGGACAGGGAGAAGAGAGATAGGGAAAAATCTAGAGGGAGAAAGATGTTGAATACATAGGAAGCAGAGGGAAATCTGATGGAATAAGGCTCCAGAGGAGATGGAATTAAGAGTACAGGTAGTGGGTTGGTTGTGATTGGCAGAAGTGAAAACTTGTCTTTTCACCACATTGGGGACAAAGTGATGTTAAGTTTGCAGTGGGTTGGGAGGTACAGGTAATTTATCCCTGTTGGAATTGATAGTTTTGGAGGGCTAGAAGGTAAAAATGAAGAGCATAAGGACTTAAAGGATATGGAAACATTTGAGATCAAGGACTGAAGAGAACAGAAAGGAAGAAATTAGAAAGAGTAAGGATTGTGGAGTATACTAAGGACTCATATGAAATCAGAAGCTAATATTTCATAGTATTACCAATCTTTACTGACGAACTGGGAATGAGATTGGGGATGCTGACAAGAGATTGAGAGGTTGGTGACAGGATAGTTTAAGTGTCCACCAGGCATTTGTTAGATTAGAGGAGGATGGGATACTACTGTCACTTTGAGGAAGAAGAGCACATAGGATGGGAGTGGGAGCATAAAAGAGAGGAAGGAAGGCCAGTTATTGAGTGGGCCACTAGAGGTTAAGGTTCTCATCATGTGAAACTGTAATGAATTAAATCAAAATCTGGGCATGGCCATGGTGGCTAATGGCAGAGAGGCATTATGGTGAAGGTCATGGGGGATGATGTGGCCAGGGAACTGTAGGCTAGGGTAGTGAACAATTCTAATAGTGCCCTGCTCAGATTACAGAAGGAACACTCCATAATTTAGCCTTTCCTTATTCCAGGCCCTCTTCTCTTTCCTGCATACTCTTCCTGAGTGATACTAACCATTGGTATGGCTTCAGTTGTCATGTACTGTATTTGCCAGAGACTTGAAAGCCTGTATCTCAAATCTACACACTTAACTCTCAACCTATTTCTACATGGAGGTCACTGGTTCCTGTTTTTTCTCTGTCTCAGTAAATGGTACTACCATTTACCATTGCCTGAGACAGAAAAAAGGAGGATGTTATTATCTTTGATGTCTCTTTATCTTCTACATTCCCAATGTGAGTGCAAGTGAGTTACAAAGTTATGTAGTTCTCCCAATATCTGCATAAGTCTGTCTTTTAAAAAATCCATGGCTAGTCCCTAATTCCCTATCTCTTGAATTACTAACTGCACTCTCTATTTCCATTTTTGCTGCAGTCCAATTCAGGCTCTGTAATGCAGGCAGGAATCATTTTAAAATGAAAATCCAATGTAGGCTATTCTACTTGAAATCTTTAAAATGTCTATCAGACTTTGTGTGAGCTAGTCCCTGTTCATCTCATCAAGGTTCTCTCAGGCACTCTGCCTGAGAACTTGAATTTCCAGACCAATGAGTCTTTGTATTCTTTTCATTTTCTATTTTTGATTCATGCTTGAACTTAAATCCAATTCTTCCAGAGGCTCTCAGACCATTGCTTTCATGGTAATGAATTTTTGCTATACATTATATACACTAATACTGTGTGTGTGGGTGTGTGCGCATGCGCACAACTTGCAACTGCAGCTTTCTGAGCACTTGTTCAGTGTTTTGACAATAAGCTCCATTGAGGTAGGAATTGGCTTGATTTTATTCATTATTGTGTCTGTATACAGGCAAGGTTGCCTCTTGTAAACAGTAACTATAGGTAACAGTATGTTGATTGTATTAATTCTTTTAAAATATTTTTTGGAGCACCTGCCATATGCCAGGGACCATTCTCTGTGCTAAGAATAGAAAAGTGAACTGACAAGCAGGGTCTCTGTTTTTATAATGACACAGTCAGATGAATAATATGCCAAGTGGTGATAGGGCCATGAATAAAATAAGGCTTGGGGAGAGGGTTGTGATACTCTGCCTTCAATTTCATGTACTATTTCTTGACAGTATATCATTCTTTCTAGGGAAGATTTTCTCATTATTCTTCCAAAAGGAATTTAAATAAAATTCTATATACTACTACATGTTTTTTCATGGATCAGGTCAACTCCCATGATTATCAAGAAATCTCTTTGTATCTATTAATTTTTTTATGTGTTTGGATTATGGACTTAAGCATATAATTAGCCCTTTCTTTTTACACTGGTGCTTACTTTTGCTGCACAATAATATTTAAAGCACTTTGAAATCAGGAACTGTGCTTTACATGTCTTCCTCACAGCACCCAACATGATGCAGAGAACATATTAGGTACTTAATTAAAGCCTCGTTAATTTTATACATTAAATGCTCTCTGTGTAAGTAGAATTTCAGTGGAGAAATTTTGTAGGAATTGATGCAAATACTTTAAAAATTATATAATAAGTAATCTTTTTATTATTTTAATTAGCTTTTATTTCAAATAATTTAGAATTATTTGACTTTAGAATTATAAAATTTGCAATGTTTTCTATCATTCATGAGAAAAAGGATCTTATTTGAGAAAAAGATAATGAGCATCTATACTCAACATTTGATCTTAGCGAAAAGATCAAGAAGCAATTGAGTATCTGTATTCAAAAAAATCAAGTCACACCAGGTGTGGTGGCACATGCCTGTAATCACAGCACTCTGGGAGGCTGAGGCAGTAGGATCACAAGTTCAAGCCCAGCCTGGGCAATTTACAACTCAGTGAGACTTTGTGTTAAAATAAAAAATAAAAAATGGCTGGGGATGTAGGTGAGTGAAACACCTTGGGTTCAATCCATAGTACTGGCTAAAAAGGTCAATAAATTAAGATATGAATAAAAAAGAACCTTCAAAGTGCCATATTAATTGCAGAGTTAAAACTTCCTTTAGCTGTTTGTTGATTCTGCTAGGAAATTTTATTTTCTTAAATTATAACTAAGAGTTTAAAATGGAAAGCTGTTTTAAAGAAATATTTTGAGATGAAGCTATTTTGTTATCAAAGGATTACTGATAATGTTATTTGTTTGGGCTAGAATTACTTAATTTATATTATCTGAACATTGTGCAACTCATTTACAGGTAACTTCTTACAATACCTAGTATATCTCAAATTTAAAACATCAAATGTTAAAAAAGTTTTTTCGTTCCTATGAGAAAAAAATAATAGTAATAGATTGCATTGTGGATTCAGTTTTTCACTTCAGATGTTGGTCATGAGAAATTAGTCATTTTAAATTTACTGAAATCACATTACTTGAGCTAGAAGGGAAGTTTATCAAAGAACAGGATAAACATGTAAAAATTAAAAATCTGTAAACTTTACCACAAGGATGAAGTTCTCAATTTACTTTCATATTCTGAAAATAGAACCCTGACTTCAATTTGATTAAAAATGAATGCCCAAAGGAGTGTTGAGAAAATTCTACGTGGATGAATAGCATCCTTAGCATGAAACAGTTACCATAATCTGGCAAACTGCTTGGTGGGGCGCCATCATTTTCACATGAAATGGTGAGCCATATTTAAAACGTGTCAGAATTTTAAACTAAAATGAACTTGCTGAAATTTTACAGAAGAGATTGAGAGGCTGAGGCTCTGGAGTCTGGGAGATCAGCATGGATACTCTGGAGAGATTGGGGAGGTGATAGGAAGAGTCAAAAGAGGAGAGGCTGGGGCATGGGAAGTGAAGATAGCCCAGGAGACATTGTGAAGAGAGAAATGGCAGAGTTCAGAAGGGAGATTTCACATAGGCAGTGAGAGTGTAGGAAAAGACATAAGTGAGGCCAAACTATCTGCTCTGAAGTTTTTATAAATGGTACAACTGCTGACACATGCTGTGTGTAGATATGGGTCACTTTTCAGAGACTGACAGATTTTAGTTTTGGTGTGAATGTAAACCATCTTGCAAATATTACAATAAGGAATTCATGATGTTTTAAAAGATTTCCACAAATATTTTTTTTTCTGTGTATAATTAAATATCACAGATTTGTGGTATTTTGTGTGTGTGTGTGTGTGTGTGTGTGTCTGTGTGTAGGCTTGTGTTTTCTATTAGAGTCTGCAGCTGTTCATCTGAGTGGCTTTATGGAAGCTGCTTATTCTGAATTTCACATTTTGCTTCTGTAAAAGATGGAGAATGTTATGGTTGGAAACCAAGTGGTCTAATATAATTTTATAGTATTACTGGAAACAGAAGATAGGTCTAGTTGAAAGAAGTAGTTGATAGAAGGGTGACTTTGAGGACTATATCTGGCATCCAGGATTTTTTCCTTCCTATTGGGATTTTTTTCCCTTCTCTCAGTGCTTCTCAGTTGTTGTGAAGTGAGCAACTCTGCTCCATGATGCCTTCTTCACCATAATGCTTTACCTCACTTCAGGCCCAGAAACAATGGAGCTAGTGGGCCATGGCTTGAAACCTCTGGAACCATGAGCCAAAGAAGTCTTTCCTCCTTTAATCTATTTATGACAGGTATTTGTCACAGTGACCAAAAAGCTAAGTATCACAGAGATCAATGTAATATCTATTTGACCGTGTTACCAGGAGGTTTAAATGTGATAATACACACAGAAGTCCTTATATGAAAATGCTTTAAATCCTAGCTTTGCCTTCATGTGAATGCTATACATCAGTGACAAACTTCCACCTGTCTCAACAGTGCACGCTGCCTGCGGGATACTTACTCTTAGGTAGAACTCTCCGTTTTCATTTCCAGATTTAATCCGAAAAGTATTGATGGTGTTGGTATAGACACTTGTGGCCTGTATCTGGTAGATGTCTGATGGTACAGCCCTGTCAGATCTGATGCTCATGTATTTGTGGAGTATGGACTGGGGCAGATCTAGGCACATAGCATTTGAAACTGGGCAAACACATCGGCTGCAGAGATAGACAAAAAATGTATTCACTGGTTTGGCTTGGAAAGACCAGAAAATTCTCACTTCAAAAGTTCTGATGTTTCTTACTTATCTGGTGTTAGAATGTAGGGATCTTGACAAGGATTTCGTGGATAACAACGGAAGCCACCATGATAATTCCAACACATTTCATCCTCTCGGCATTCATTGGTTGTTTCACATTCGTTTATATCTGTAGAGATGTAGGGTTAAAGAGTTTATGGATCTAAAAAAAATGTGTATGTGGCAGGTTCTTGTTTGTAAGGCAGTGTGTGAGAATGTGGATTGTATTCAATCTGCTTTTAGACATAAGACTAAATGGGACCTAATTTCATTTCATTGAATTCAGGATAGACATATCTGAGCCTTTCTGGACAGATTAGTAAGTGTTACTTCATATTTTATAAAGCACCAATTGTTTATCTGTTGAATTTAAAGCCAAATGCGAACTACTGACTCTGCTTATATAATAGTAAAAAAAATTAGTTGGGAATATAAATATGGGAAAAATTACTTACAAAGTAAAATGGAATTAAAGAATAGGTAGGGGAGTACATTGGTGGGTTTGAAACAGAATTGATCAATTCTGTCTGGAGGATTAAGGAAGGATGAAGGAAGGAGTAGGTATCTCAACTTGGCCTTGGAGGGTGGTGATTAGGTGAGATTTTCATGGCTAGAATGGGAATGGCTCTCCAGACTGAGAAAACAAGCATAAACTATGAAGAGGGCAGTTTGTCATCTCCCAGTAGAAAAGGAGAGAGGAAAAGGCTAGAAAGGTAGTTTCATTAAGCAGCATTATCTGAGGGATGGTAGATGATCGGAGAGGGGACTGCACTATCCAGAGGAGGCAGAGCAGAAGCAAAGCTGTGGAGTGTTCCACCATGTAGAGCAGAGCTATTTAGGTACAGTGTGGAAGAAGAAAGGGCTGTGAGTGCTGGAAGGCAAACTAGGAAAAGCATTGCCAAAGAAGCCAGAGGGAAATGAGTCTTAGGAAGAAGGGTGGTGGGTCAGCCAGGCTAGGCAAAGACTGATTCTAGATTTGGGTATTAGATGACATTTGCTTCCCAGATGATTTTGAAAAGAACATTTTTAGTAGTGAGTTATTACATTTATGATAACAGCAACAATTAAATTAATATCTACATCCCTATCTAGTCTATCTCCTATTATATTCAAATAGTGATTTATATTCTATCCAATAGAAGCCTTCTCTGAATCATGCACTTCCAAAGATAGGATGTATTTATGCATTAGTTTACTCATCCCATAAGTAACTTACTGAATCCTTGCTACAATCCAGGCATGGCCTAAGTGCTGGGATTTGATCTCTTTTGAAGTCTCATGGATGGTATTTCTCTTTTATGGCTTTTATTCCTTTGTTTTGCTTTGCATTACTGAAATCTGTATACAGTGGTATATCAATTTGCAAGTGGTTTTATTTGCAAACAGTTTGGTTCACAAACAGAAGCATTTGGAAAAATTTTGCTTCTGTTTGAGAACTCTGCATCAGGTGAGGAACACGACCAGGGCCATCTTTTCTAGAATCATGGAATGAATTAATTAAGTTCCTTGTTTTAATCCTATTAGCTTGAAACTCTTTGAGGGCATGGGCTACTGTACCCATGTTTAATCTTTCACTACTGAGTGTTAATGCACTGAGAACCTGCCTTTTAGAATATTAAATTAACTAAGTTGGTTCTCACACAAACTGTGTGGAGAAAAGTGAGGAAGATATTACCTCCATTTGATATTGAGGAAAAACAAAGGTTAAGCGGCTGGTTCAAGTTCATACAGTTAGTGACAGGTATCTTTCTATTACAAGTTACTCTAAATAAGAATAATTATATCCAGGAGGTGAGCCTTCTGGGCCACCATACCACTGCCGCCAGCACCAAGGAGCACAGCTGCTGCCAGCATTGAGGAGGAGCCTTCCAGGCCTCTGTACTACCGACCCCAGCACCGAGGAGGTGAGTCGTGCAGGCACCAGCACACCCTGCCCCCCAAAAATGAGAAGACACATAAAAAAGTCACAAAACCAGACTTCCAGATCACCTAAAGCAACCCCAAAGGGAAATGATATGGAACTATCTGATACTCAACCACCTGGACTCCCTGAACTGGCAACAAAAGAGGATCTGGAAAAACTAAAATCAGAAATAATTTCGCAGATAACAGCAGAGATTGTGCTAGTAGTTCAAGACATGATTAATAAATCTAGAGAGGACACAGATAAAAAGATAGAGGAGCTGAGGAACATGATGGAATCCCAACATAGGAAACAAATGGAATCCATAAAACAGATGCAAACAGATTTCCAGGAGATTAAAAACTCCATTGAAAGTTTACACAGCAGAATGAGCCAGTGTGAGGGCAGAATTTCAGATATAGAAGATAGGGTTGCAATTAGTGACCAGGAAGAGAAAAAATTTCTTTAGAATAGTAAGGGACCACAAGAAATCATTCCAGCAGCTGCTAGATGATGCAAAGAAGAGTAAAATAAGACTGATCGAGTCAGCGAAGAAACAGGAGAGAGAGTGCAGATGACATAAAATCTGTTCACAGAAGTGATGGCAGAAAACTTCCCAAGCAGGGGAAAAGAACTTGACATACAGATAAGTGGGGCATATGGGACTCCAACAAACCTTGATCAAAAAAAATCTACACATAGGCATGTAATAGTTAAGATTCCAGAAACCCAAAAGAGGGACAAAATTCCACAAGCAGTGAGAGAAAAGAAACAAATCACATACAAAGGAAAGCCCATCAGAATCACAACCGACTTCTCAACACAAACCCTCAAGGCAAGAAGAGGTTGGAGTGACGTATTTCAAGCCCTAAAGGAAGACGGCCTCCAACCCAGATTGATGTACCCTGCAAAACTATCTTTCAAAATTGATGGAGAAATAAGATACTTTCATGACAAAGAGCACCTTAGGAACTTCATGAATACCAAACCAGCACTCCAAAAAACTTTAGACAATATCCTAGCAAAAGATAATGGGGATCACAACCACAGGAAACCCAGCAGAATGAATCCATCTCCATTGGGCATGACAAGAAATTAAACACAAAGGGGGAGAATCCAACAAAAAGAAAAAGTCATGACAATGATAAGTCAATACATATCAGTTATAACCATCAATATTAATGGTCTCAATTCACCAATCAAAAGAAATAGACTGGCAGAATGGGTCAAGAAGCAAGATCCAACAATATACTGCATACAAGACACACACTTACTTCAGAAAGAAACTCATAGACTGAAAGTTAAAGGGTGGAAAGCAATACTCCATGCGATAGGAACCCCCAAAAAGCAAGAGTAGCTATCCTCTTTGCAGATCAAGTGGATTTCAAACCAGCACTGATTAAGAGAGACAAAGAAGGACACTACATCCTTATAAAGGGTACAATCCAACAGAAAGAGATGAAAATTATAATTATGTATGCACCAAACACTAGTGTGCCCAACTATATAAAACAAATATACTAACAGACATGAATAATCAAATAAGCACTAATACAATAGTAGTGTGGGACCTCAATACTCCACTGTCACAAATAGATCAACTAGATAAAAACTAAGCAATGAAATACTAGAACTCAGTCAAACTCTTGAACAAATGAACTTAACATGTTTACAAAGTGTTCCACCACACAAAATCAGAATACACATTTTTTTCAGCTGCACACGAGTAGTTCTCCAAAATAGACCACATACTCTCTCACAGAACATGTTTAAGTAAGTGCAAAGGAATTGAAGTTATCTCCTGTATATTATCAGATCATAGTGTGATGAAATTGGAGATCAACATCAAAAAAAACCTGCAAGAATTTCATAAACACATGGATATTGAACAACACACTTCTGAATAACCAAAGGGTCACAGAGGAAATTAAAGAAGAAATCAGACAGTTCCTACAGTTAAATGACAATGCCAATACACCATATCGGAATCTATGGGACACAATGAAAGCAGTCTTACGAGGGAAATTCATAGCAGTGAAGACGCATATTAGGAAAACACAGCGAGCCCAATTAAACAACCTGATGATAAACCTCAAGCTTCTAGAAAAAGAAGAGCAGGACAAATCCAAACTCATACAAGGGAGGAAATTATAAAGATCAGAGCAGAAATCAATTCAGTGGAGACTAAGAGAACGATACAAAAAAATCAACGAAGCCAAGAGTTGGTTCTTCGAAAGAATAAACAAAATTGACAAACCCTTGGCCAACCTTGTCAGAAAAATGAAAGAAAAGGCCCAAATCCATGCAATTAGGAATGAAAAGGGTGAAATTATAACAGACCCAGCAGAAATCCAGATGATCATCAATACCTACTTTGAGAACCTATATGCTGGTGGTAGTGTAGACTGGTGCAACCACTGTGGAAATCAGTATGGAGATACCTCAAAGAACTAGGACTGGAAGTCCCATTTGACCCCGCTATTCCCCTGCTGGGGA